AAAGGTAATTTATTTGAGAAACATCCAAAAGCATAACTGAACACTTAATCGGCCACTTTACACAATAAAATAGGCAATTAATAACCCATGTACTTTTGTAAGCAAGAACAGTCACATGGTTATATCAATTATGAGAAGATGAACCATATTCATAAAGAAATAGGTCAAAAAGGGAAAAGTAGAATGCGTATCACTGTGCTTCGTAATTGGTTGCACCCAGTTTTATAACTGAAATACTGTCACAAACAACGTAAGTCTTTTGACTGCAAAAGCTGTGATGGGCCACCACTGCATATGCGGTCCTCCAAAGAACTGAGATCATGGGTTTTATCTTTCACAAATGCAGATGTACACAAAGGACATTTCTTTAGTTGTCTAGGAAGTTTCAACATTGTTATGTACATGCACAATCTTACAAAGTTGACTTTGTGATAATGCACTTTCATGGAGTCGGATTTGCAAAAAAAATGCCTAAACTTTACACAATTTATATCTCCAGTGTGGGCAATGAAATGAAGATAAAATACATAGTGAAATGCTTTACTAAGTTTCTAGGTATTCCTTAAACCTGTCAAGCTGACATCTAGAATTATTTTCCATGAGCCCACCCCTTGTCAACTGGGCACCTACACATATCTCCTTAAACCATACTTAACATCCAAATAAAGAAAATAACAATTATGATTCAAACCCATCCTTAATATGGAGTATTATTTATCCATAAAGATGAAAGATCTACCAGTACATGCTACAGCTTGAATTAACCTTGATACCATTATGTATGCTCGTGAAAGAAACAAGACAGAACATCCATATATTAATTACTCCACCTGTATAAGGTGTCTAGAAAAGGCAAATGCGAGGAGACTGAAAGTAGATTTGTGTTCGCCAGTGGCTGGGGGAATAACAAATGGGAGCAAATACTAATGGGTACTGGGTTTCTTTTTGAGGTGATAACAATGTTCTTAGAGAGTTGTGATGGACAATTCTGTGGATGTACCACTGAATTTTACCATTTAAAGGAGTTAATTTTATCCTATGTGAATTATATCTTGATAAAGCTATTAAAATATCTTAGAATAGGAAGGGATCAATGACTTTGATTTGGACGCTTTATGTTTTAACACGTCCATTCGACACCCAATTGCGTATAAGATTCATATATAAAAGACTGTGTCTCAAAAGAGAGGTCACAGCTAAAAATGAAAATACAGGCACCATCATCATATAGCTTTAAATTCTAATTTAAAACCTGGGACTAGTCAGTCTTCTAAATATGGAATTGACAAAGATTTTCTTTTAAAAACGAGACCAAAAAAAAAAATATATATATATATATATACACACACACACACACATATATAAATGCATACATACATACATACGCATATACACAGAAAGAGAGAGCCCAAGATGTAAAATAAGAATATTATGCAGGTACTTATATATTTATTGATACAATAATAGAATGATAAGTATATCTTTTTGTAATGTAGATCAACTGATAAGACAAATGGAATCTTTTTAGGGATATTCCTTTATTTAATTAAAAGTTAGTGTTCATTATCTCCAAAATCAACTATAAATATGTATCTTTTAATGCTGACTTGGAATGAGATTTTACATGTTTCATCTTAGACATGTCTTTTCCCACAGGTAAGGACTGCCAAATACTGATGTCGGTCCCTGAGCATTTTATCTTAACTGAGTACATTCATTGTTTGGAAAGCATTTATAGAATTATATTTTTCTTCTCTGGATATTGACTTTCAGCATACATTGCAGATTAACTTCTAAACAAAGGCTAAATGACAGCTCTTCAATTGCTTGCTTCAATAGATTTGAAATACGAATATTTCTTCTGCACTTGCATTGATGTATGAAACCTGGAATGACAGAACTGGAATTTGAACTTGAAAATAAAGCCATTGCACAGATATGTGAGGGTTTGGAGACCGCCCCTCTCGTTTCACTTTAGACAGCCCTTGACATGTACAAAGCAGGATGACATTCCTTCAATTCAAGCAGCATTTGACATGATGGCAAGGATGGTTTCCACAGGTGTGTGTTGTATGCATTTGCACAGGGCTTCACATCGAGAAGGTCCAGCAGTTGGTTTAATGTGCTGCTGTCATAGTCCTGAAATTTTAAATGTGTTTTCTTTAAACTTGAGATACATGAAATATTCATATCTGCTGTTCCTTGGCACTCCATTTGCATACAGTCTTTATGATGCCTGAAGAACGCAGGAGACACAAGACGTATGAGAGCTGAATGAAACAAAGCAAGTACAAGATAAGCATGCCACATCTGCGACTAGGGAGGCTGACGGCCCACGGAGGCCACACTTTCTGTTTAAACCAGAACCTGCTTTGAGGCAATGACATTCAGACGAACACAAGCAATCAAAGAACATTATCATACCCTCTTTTGCTCAAGCCAAGCTCCTATATTCACCAACCAACTATGCTGAGAAACGGTGACACTGAAGGAGAGGGAAAGATGGGGCAAACCCCAGTTTCTTTCTTTTTCTGCTTCCCTACTCATCAGTAAGTCAGCCGTTGCATTCTTGTAGAATGTGAGTATATCCGGAATTAGAATAAAAACTTGAGTTAGTTTTATGAGGTGTGTTTTAGTCAGGGTTCTCCAGAGAAACAGAATTGAACAGAGATAGATACAGAGACATGTACGGGGAGGACTTACTGGAGGAATTTGCTCACTTGTTTATGAAGGCTAGAAGTCTCATGATGGGCCATCTGCAGGCTGGACAACCAGAGAAGCTGGCTGCCGACTCAGTTCAAGTCCAAAGACCTCAGAAATGAGGAAGGCCAATGGTGTACCTCTCAGTACAAGGCCCAAGGCCCAAGAATCTGGAGGGCTGCTGTGTGTGAGTCTCAGAGTCCAAATGGTAGAACCTGGAGTTTGGATGTTCAAGGTCAGAAAAAAAGAAGTCCCGGCTCCAGGAGAGCAGCTCATTCTTCCCCCACTCACACTGGGGGTGGATCTTTCCTACTCAGTCCACTGACTCACACTCCAGTCTCCTCCAGAAACATCCTCACAAACACACCTGGGGCAGCCCAAATTTAATCAAGAGCAAAACCACTTGTGTTTTTCTTTTAGCAGAATAGGGACAGGCTCAGTGCCTACTGAAGAAGTGAGAATAAATTATGGGTTGCCATCTGTGTCTCCCTGAGTCAAGTCAAGTTGACATCCCACATCAACCATGACCAGCTCTTTCCACTGTTCTGGCGGAAATATACCGTCTAGACATGTATGAGCCACAAAGGATAAATTATACAATTTTGGCAATTCTGCGTAAGTGCTTTTACATGTATCTTAAATTGTCATGGTACCATATATGGATGAACGGGAAAATTCATTTTTTGGGTGTCAAGCAGCAGGGTGGGGTTATAAGAGCACCTCACATCATCTGTGTTGCAACTTCTCAACTCTGCCGTAATAGTGGTAAAACAGCCCTAAAAGCAATAAATAGTTTATAAGTACAGCTGTTTTCCAATGAATCTTTATTTGTGGACTTTGAAATTTTACTTTCAGGTACAATGAAATACGATTGTCTACTGACTTTGTTCAACCATTTAAAGTATTAAAAACTATTCTTAGCTCACAGAGCATTCAAAAACTGATGGTAGGCTGGATTTGGCTCAAAGGCTATATTTTGATAATCCCTGATCTAGAGAAAAGAAATGTAAAAGAAAAGGATGCGACTCAAGATCAAATCTTAGGGCACGAATATTGAGCATTTTAGAGGAAGAGGAGACAGTCTAGGAGGTAAAGAAGGAATGCATGGCTAGAGATGTGGAAAGAAATCCAGGATAGCGTAGTTTCACGCACCGAGGAATTTCAAAACTGAAGGCACGCTGAAGTTGTGTCCTGCTTAGCTGGCGTCAGTCACAGTAGTCAGCACTGGCAGGAAGAGATGAGTTCACGGGTGATCTCCTGGAGCACAATCTCAAGAGAATTATTTGGAAGAGCAACAAAAAACGTAGATAGCAGAATCAGCTGGTTCTGGGAATTGAATTCGTGAGGTGCAGGCAATTCTTTTGAGAACTTTTAGCATTTATTTAATTATTATTGTTGCAGAGAGTAGCATGCTAAGTAGAAGCTGCATCCAATCGAAAACCAATCAAATGATTCATATGCATTACATCTAAAAGCTATTTTTAGGTTTTGATTGTTTGCTTTGCGAAGGAGTCTCTCACTCTGTCCCCAGGCTGGAGTGCAGTGGCCCCATCTCGGCTCACTGCAACCTCCATCTCCTGATTCTGCTGCCTCAGTCTCCCAAGTAGCTGGGACTACAGGTGCACACCACCATATCCGGCTNCCAGGATGGTCTCGATCTCTTGACCTCATGATCCACCTGCCTCGGCCTCCCAAAGTGCTGGGATTACAAGCGTGAGCCACCGCGCCCGGCCTCTTTTAGTTATTTTTAAATGTACAATTAAATTATTACTGAAGCTGGGCATGATGGCTCACACCTGTAATCCCAGTACTTTGGGAGGCTGAGGTGGGTGGATCACTTGAGGTTAGGAGTTCAAGACCAGCCTGGCCAACATGGTGAAACCCCTTCTCTAATAAAATTACAAAAATTAGCCAGGCACTGTAGTCCCAGCTACTCGAAAGGCTGAGGGAGGAGAATCACTTGAACCTGGGAAGAGGTTCAAGTGAGCTGAGATCGTGCCACTCCATGCCAGCCTGGGTGACAAAGTAAGACTTCATCTCATAAAAAAAATTATTATTGACGTTGTCATCCTGTTGTGCCATCAATCTTGTACTGTTTTTATGTTCCCCTTGCAACCCTCCCTGAGGCAAAAGATTTCTGAGGATCAGAGAGGGAAATGGGCTTGCCTGGGGTCACACAGCAAGCTTGGGCAGAGCGGGGAGAGATCTGGCCAGTGGGGTTTGCTTCTTCCTTAACCTTGAGGTGGCTGCATGTCTGAGTAGAACTGATCGTGGTGGTGCTCCAGGGCTCTGAGCACCTCTGTCTCTCCCCTGCTATTCATCTTCTTTCAGGGTCCCCCTGGAAACCCAGGAATTCCAGGCCTCCCAGGAGCTGATGGCCCTCCGGTGAGAACCAGGAGCTGGGAAAAGGAGGAAGGAGAAAGGGGAAGCTTGGGAATTGGAATGGCAAATTTTTGCCTCTGATAACTTAGAATGTTTCTTCCCCAGGGTCACCCAGGCCATGAGGGCCCCACAGGAGAGAAAGGGGCCCAGGTGAGTGACCAGGAGTTTAGGCTAGATTGGGGACGAGGGTCAGGAGGCAGGGCCTGGAGTCAGGGGCCACAGAGGAGAGCGATAGGAGCTCTCAGAATGTGGAAAGGATTGGCTAGAATGGCACTGACCTTGTCTTCCTCCCAGGGTCCACCAGGGTCGGCAGGCCCTCCGGGCTATCCTGGACCTCGAGGAGTGAAGGTAGGTGATATTGGGGGCTTGCAAGTAAGAGTGATTTACCAGCTTTGGGTTCAGGGATGCAGCTCCATTGGAAACTTCTGGATGTGTGCAGAAGGGAATCACACAGGCCAGATGTAGCGGGAGGGGGTTTGGAGCTGTACAGCCAAGGACAACCTTACAGTGTGGTTGTCACGTTGTCATTGAGAAGAGTTAAGCCCATTAGAGGCTGAGCACATTTCTTTTTCTTTTTTTGAGACAGAGTTTGTGGCCAGGCTGGAGTACAGTGGAGCCATCTTGGCTCACTGCAACCTCTGCCTCCTCCCAGGTTCAAGGAATTCTCTTGCCTCAGCCTCCCAAATAGCTGGGACTACAGGCATGTGCCTGCACACCTGCCTGATTTTTGTATTTTTAGTAGAGAAAGGTTTTCACCATGTTGGCCAGGTTGGTCTCGAACTCCTGACCTCAGGTAATCTGCCTGCCTCGGCCTCCCAGAGTGCCGGATTGCAGGTGTAAATCCTGCGCCTGGCCCGAGGATTGTGTTCTAACCCAAGCTCAGAGCCATATAATGTACAAGCACAGTAATGCTGAGTTAAGCCAAGAGCTGCACCCTGGCTAAATAGAAGTACAGGGGCATTAGAGTTCATTCATGTGGAAGCTGAGTCCAGTGACATTGTAGCCAAGTACACGTGTAATTTACCTGAACATGTGTGCATTAGACAAGCTTAGTCACACTATAATCAAGGAATTGGCTACACTGTAGCAGGCCACAGAGTCTGGCAAGCATCACCCTCAGAGTTACATTGTAGCTAGGCATAGTTACATTTTTTAAAACCATTTTAAAAAATGTTTTATTTTATAGAGACCTAGTCTTCTCTGTTGACCAGGCTGGAGTATAGCAGCATAATACTGGCTCACTGCAGCCTTGAACTCCTGGGCTCAAGTGCTCCCCTCACTTTAGCCTCCTGAATAGCTAGGACTGCAGACGTGTGCCATCAGGCTTGGCAGTTTTTTCGTTTTGTTGATGATGATGATGATTGAGACAGGGCTGTTGTCCATGCTGGAATACAATACCACCATCACAGTTTACTCATGAAGCCTGGAGTCCCAGCCTCAATCAATCCTCCTACCTCACCTCCCAGGTAGCTGGAACTACAGGTGCATGTCACCATATCCGGCTTTTTTTTTTTTTTTTTTTTTTTTTTTTTGTAGAGGCGGAGAGTTGGGGCGGAGGGGCGGGTCTCACCAAGTCTGTCAGGCTGGTCTTGAATTCCTGACCTCAAGTGATCCGCCCACCTCGGCCTTGGGAAGTTCTGGGATTAGAGGCGTGAGCCACCATGCCCAACTGAAAGTTTCTGATTATAGGGTAATTACCTCCAAACTCAGAATTTAAAAGTAAACTAGTAAGTAAGCATCAGGGTTTTCTATCTCCGTCAGTATTTACATAAAGCAATTTATATTCAGTTTGCTTTTAGCAACTGTTTTAAAAATGAATGCCGCCGTTTTATTAGTTGTCTTTTTTTTTTTTTTTTAATTGCATTTTAGGTTTTGGGGTACATGTGAAGAACATGCAAGATTGTTGTTTAAGGCTGACTCCACTTTCTAAATGTGGAACTGCTGACAGTTCGTAAGCCTCGCCCCTCCTGCCTTCTGTGCCCCACGCTGGGAAAAGCCTAGGTGCTCCCTCCTTTGCTGTCAGCACCGCATAAACAGGAGCCTACACGCGGGCCCCGCCCTGAATCACAGCAAATCCACAGCCCCCTGCTCTCTCTGACACCTGCTCTCCCCAGGGTCCTCGTTGTGTGCCTAATAAAGCTTTCCATACCTCTTCCTGTGTGAGGGGCTGGGGTGGCCTCACTGTGCAGACCAGCTTTGCTGGGTTGTGTGGGGGGCCTGGGTCCCTCCCGTTCCTCCAGCGCGCTGAGAGCGGGGTCCCGAGGCGCTGTCCTCCGGCACTGCTCTGGCTTTGGTTTGCTCGCTCCTGCCGCCTGCTGGCGGTTACCGTAATGTTCTTGGCGTCTCCTGTAATTTCTCATTCTGTTCCTCACAAAATGGACTTGTCTGTTATTGATATTTGCATTTTGTTTACATGAATGTTAGAATCAAATTACAAATGGCTAATTAAAAAAAAAGAAAAGAAAACCTCCTAGGGTTGTATTGAATCGATAATTTGTGGAGAAATAAAATATCATTTGTAGATCTTTTTGGATTTTCTGTGTTCACACAACATAATATGCTGTGTTTAAAAAGTGACAGTTCTCTTCCTTTCTTTCATTACTTATGCTTTTTACGTATTGTTCTTGCCTTATGATAAATAGCCAGAATCTCTGTACATTTTGAATGGGCAGGAGATCCTTGTTTAGTCCCAGTATCAGAAGAAAAACTCCATAGGTCACAATTAAGTATTAAAACTTTTAAATATATTTTTAGATTTAATAAACATGTAGATTTTGATTGCCTGAAATAAAGGAAAATAATGTTAATATGTAATCCTAACATCATTCTATACAGATTGTGGAAGTATATAGAAGCATACAACAATAATCAGATTTTAATTAAAACGTGTATTCAAATTGCTGCTATAATACTTAAAGTTGTGTGACTATGTATATTTGTATATAACTGTATACTTTGCACATACTTTCCCTAAGAACTTAGAACTGTAGAAAACCATGTTTTTATTTCTAAGCTGAACTTGAAGATGACTTGTCCTTTAGAACTCAGCTAAAACACCTCATCTGTACAATTAAGACTTCCCATCGATTACCACTCAGTTGTAGACATCTTAAATTATGCTTTTCTTTGGCATGTTGACTTGATTATTGACTACACTACACCCTTCAACCAAGAAGCAAGAATTCCCTGAGAGAAGGAACCATGGCTGTTTTGTTCACAGCTGAAGGCCAAGGAGAGTTATAACCCTGTTCCTGACACTTAGAACACTACGTGGCCTATGATAGGTACTCAGTTTTTAATTTTGAGCTGATGAAAATTGATGTAAATAATCCATCTAATTGGAAATATACAAAGTTAACTTCATTAGTGGGGCTTTAAAAATTTATCTTTAACCTGGTCAAATCATGGACATATCTAGTCAAATATTGTCACTGGCCAATGTGTATAGCTCAGAAAATATAAGTCGTAGAGGCAAATATAATTACATGTTGTTCGATGATATTGTTGTATAAAAATTTAGCAAGTCCCTACAAAGAGCCAACACTGTTTTACCAACAGGAAGGGAGGTAAGAAAGGAGCAAAGCCGGCCTGGCGCGGTGGCTCACGCCTGTAATCCCAGCACTTTGGGAGGCTGAGGCAGGTGGATCACGAGGTCAAGAGATCGAGACCATCCTGGTCAACATGGTGAAACCCCGTCTCTACTAAAAATACAAAAAATTAGCTGGGCATGGTGGCGCGTGCTTGTAGTCCCAGCTTCTCAGGAGGCTGAGGTGGGAGGGTTGCTTGAGCCTGGGAGGCTGAGGTTGCGGTGAGCCGAGATCATGCCATTGCACTCCAGCCTGGGTAACGAGCGAAACTCCGTCTCAAAAAAAAAAAAAAAAAAAAAGAAAGGAGCAAATCAGACCCACTTCCTGTGAAACTGCTCATCCGCATCTAGGAGCCTTTGATGTTTCTTACTCCTTTGCAAGACTATTCATATTGTTATCTCTTTATGCTGTGATTGAACATTCAAAACCTTTTATGAATTTTTTTGGTAATTCTATGCAGACCAGTCCATTATCAGAGTGTAAAAACTGCCTTTAAAAATATATGTATTTACAATGTAAAAATAATTTGGTCTTATAGATTAATGATATCATGCTCCTGTGACTTTTGCACCTCATTTAAAATAAATAACTTGGGGCCGGGCACGTTGACTCCTGCCTGTAATCCCAGCATTTTGGAAGGCCAGGGTAGGTGTGTATCACTTGAGCCCGGGAGCTCAAGACCAGCTTGGGAAACGTGGCAAAACTGCATCTCTACAAAAAATACTAAATGATGGGCTGCACCTGTAGTCCCAGCTGCTCAGGAGGCTGAGGTGGGAGGATCACCTGAGCCCCAGGAGGTCGAAGCTGCAGTGAGCTCTGATCACAGCACTGCACCCCATCCTAAGTGTCAGAGTGAGACACTGTATAACTTGACATTCTGATATGTGAGTGTTTATGCAAAACTAATTCTGGTAGCCTTTCCATAGTTTCTTTATCTTCCGTTACAGTCACTCTAGGAGAAAGAATCCTATATGAAACAGGGACAAAGTGGCTTCCAGTTACGTGTCAGGGCCAATGACTCTGCCTTGGAGTTTCCAGCCGCAAAACAGAGATCACCCTTAAAAGTGGACTTCATCATTTTTCCTTTTTCTAATTTATTTACTTGGATTGCCTTTTGATTGGGGAGGTTTTTATGGAGAGAGTCTTCCACTTTGAATGGCTTCTCATGAGAAACGCCACATGGCTTGAGCATACATGGTTCTTCTGCTTGTTCCTGTGTGGGATGCAACTTCCTCCAGCTGTCACTTAGAAGTGTAAATAGGAGACAGGGCAGAGGTGCAGCGACAGGAGAAACTGGTGTCCAGAATCTGAGCAGAAGTGGTCTGGAAGTCTAGGACTAGCCTGGCCAAGGGGAGACCACAGATGCTTGGGGCCATGTACCTACATACTAAGGCAAAGGAATTCTGCTTGACAATTCTTCATATGATTAATATTTCTTACAAGGGTCATTTAGGATTGAATATTCAGCCTCGTGGGCATTTTTCTTTGACAGTAGATATTCCAAGTGGTGATAAAAGGTCATATAAAGTCATAAGAGATACCAGATTTAACAGCATGTCATTTCTTTATTCATCCATGTCATGCAGGCCTACAAATGATTCTGTACTGGAATCTGTCAGGTTATAATGGCTTTAGCATTAGAATTATATTTAAATATCTTAAGAAAATATATTTATGTAACGTAAGAAACAATTACAAAGTCTGAGCAAATGCAACAGTGGTATATGTTGTGTGTTTGCAGGTAGCGATGAGTCACGAGTTCAGG